CATTGGAGAGACTCCTCAAGTTTTTCAATCCTGAATCGTACAGAGGCAGTGGGAATGTCAAACTGCCAGACATTCCCAAGACATATCGCCGAATCACTTCATACTTGACTGCTGATGAGTTGAACAGATTTTTCAACCCTGAAACATACAAGGCAAAGCAGTTGAGTGAGGAGCTTCAAGAGGAGCTACAAGAACCCTACGAAGGGCAAGGGAGGGGCAGTCTTCCAGATGATTCCAGTCAACTCAGTCACGATGACTTGAAAGCCGCATTGGAAGCAGAGATGGACAAGATGGAACTGGAAGAAGATGCTGGAATCTCTCCTGACAATGTCGAGGGCTGGCTGAGTTTGCCACCTGCAGAGAGGAGCAATGAAGAGATTGAATCTTTGGTAACAAGTGTGATGGCACATGAGAAGTTTCAGAATTTCCTCAAGGCTCAAATTGAGTCGGGAGCATTTGATCGCTCCTACACGTTTGGCACTTGTGATCCTCGGAGCGATCTAGATGAGTGGTTTGAATTCCTTCAAGGCTGCAATGACGCAGATGCGAAGGCGAATGCACAGGCGAAAGCACAAGAGGAAGGTGCGCATGGTTGTTACCGTGTATAGTTTTATTATTGCAGTTGGTTGCGCCAAAATATTTCTGCCAGGCTGGAGGGACCAGAAGTTCAATCCGGACAATTGGTACAAGCTGAGATCTAAAGAACCTCTGGACCTCCTTCAAAGAGCTGCGATCGATCCTCGCCTATATCATGTTACACAAGTCGAGTCACGAGTCACACGAGTCACGCGTCAATATCATGTTACAGTTCTCTTTGTTACCACTCGCTGCGAGAGCTGATTTGCAATTTCCAGGCAATGGTTGAAAAGCTAGCTCGGTGGGACATGGAACACAACGATGGGGCTGTGCGGAAGAGAGCTGGCAATTGGCCAAGTGAATGGACACTAGGTTCTGCTTGCACCGGCACAGGTTCGTTTCCTGGTTGCAATGTAATGTAATGCAATGCATGAACTGAGTTGAAACGAGATGAAAGAAACAATGAATGAATGAGTGAGCAATGTAATTTACAATTTTGATTCGACTTGTCATTCTACACTATCACCATTTCTCCACATATCTTTGTTCTGGCTGATTCAGATATAAGGTTTGAGATTGCAGCGCAAGCAGCACTTGGTGCATTGTCGCTCAAGTACTGCTCGGAACTTCTGCCGGTTCCCCTCTTTGGGTGTGAGAAGAACAAAGTCAAGCAAAAGTTTGTCGAACCTGTAATTGCAGACTTTGAAGCGTGCTTGTTCCAGGCGATATTATGTGGTTTGCAAAGCACAATGCAATGCAGCAAATTCAAGACAGTAACAATAGTAGACATAAACAATAGACTGGACTAGAATATGTTTGGAATCTGTGTGAACTCTGACTTGGAGGATGTAACTTCAATCCACACTGAAGAGCGGAAGTGCATTGCTCACGGGGAGCCATGTGAACTTCCGACATCCTTGGACATATTTGCAGCAGGGTTTTCCTGCACTTCAGTGAGTGGATTGAACCCTGGAGCGGCTGAGAACGTGACAGCAATTGAGCAAAACAAGGCGTGGGTGTAGCTTGTGTAAAGACACAGCATACGGCCTCCGTGCGTTTTAGTCTCAATTGACTTCAGGCGGTGGCCACTGCGGAGACCTTTTCTGGCTGCGTGAACATCATTAAGCATTCGCAACCAACAGTCCTGTTGCTTGAAAACGTTCCCCGCTTGGCTGCCTCATCTGGTTCAGATGAGGTGTGACTCTGCCGCACTGTTTTCCAAGCTCACTATGGACGTGGACGTGGACGGTGACATACTGACATACTATACCGACCGTACTATACAAATAGAAAAAGTCAAGAATCAATATTCAAACTAAACTCAGACCAATTTCTGGACATATTTCTCATTGGCATTGGCACATTTTTACTTTTGCAACCTAGCAAGGCCGTCCAACTTGGACAGTTGCCTCCGTGTGCTGGAAAATCCATGCGGAGACCGCAGCTTAGAATATGTTTGCGCGACGCTGCTGATCAACAGCCAATGGTATGGTCTCCCGCAGAATCGGAATAGACTTTTTATCCTTGGGGTAAAAGTGTCGTATGAAGCCAGCTTCCCCCCTGCTGACAGAGTGGTGGCGGAAGCAGTGGAGCATATGAAGAAGATGCACCTGAAGACAGCGCCCGTTGCTTCTTGTCGGCGGTTGATCATTTTCATGCTGATGGGTATGGTTCACAGCGAATGTGATTTCGACAAGTACGCAACATCATGAATCATGAATTGATTCCCTTTCAGTTAGGACTCCTACCTGCTCCCCAATGACCACGAGAAGGTAGTTGCTGAGCTTGAGCGTTTGGAACAAAAAGAACACAAAACCGCATCTGCCAAAGACAAATGGGTTCAGATGCACATGTCCATTGCATCAGAACGTATCTTGGTCCGCGTTTCTTTCCTGTCTCAATCATAGAATTTGTTTCTGAGGTTCCTTTTGTACGCAGTCCTTGCGCACATGTTTAGTTTGTCATGGCGTACAAGGTGGATTGACGTGGCCAATACAACCCAGTGAGACCGTTGCGAAGAGCAGGTGGTTTGCGTGCATGTGTCAACGTGCTCAAGAGGTTGTGGCACTTGCAGAGAATGATAAGATCAACAAGCCTGATGAGTGCTTGCGTTTCGCCGATGTGTACCATTCGGCAAATCGTTATGCAACGTCTTCCAAGGACTGCACACCAGTCATTTTGCCAAGTTCCATGATCTACGATTTTGAACGTGGACGACTACTCTTAGGACTGAAAGCATGTACATTTCATGATTCAGTACACTGGTGTTTTTGTTGATGAATTCTCTCTATACTGAGACTGAGACTGATTCATTTGTTGGTTTAGTTAGCCCGGTCACGGTACAATTGCGCAGCTACACCTGTTGCAAGAGAGGAATGCCTTCACTTGCAGGGGCTGGCCTTCGACAGAGACCATGTTTCAAACTTCTCGCAGACACAACTTCAAGATCTCGCTGGCAATGCGTTCCTAGACGCCTTTTTAATTGTTGCGTCTTTGTCACTTTGTTGTTTGTTGAAAGACTGACATTACTGCTGCTTTAGTAACTTTAGTAAGAATGTACATCGTACATCCTTGAAACAATATGGACATTGAAGCTGAGTTTCTCTGCCAATATCATGGCTGCCTTGATTATTTCCGTGGTTGCAGCTTGGGATGAACCCTCTGAGAGTGAGCAGAATGAGAATCGCGAGCTCAGTGTAATGATGGATGACCTCAATGTTTTTGCTGGCTGGCTGCCAAAACGGTGAGTCGGGCAAACAATCTTAGCCTTAGCTTGGTTTGGTGTTGACCTGCCAATCCATGTTCCGATCAAGGTATAATCTCTGTGTGTGATCGATGTGATCTAGTACAGTATATTAAGATCTATGTCACATGTCACATGTCTATGTATGTGTTCTGCTTTTAGTATGTGTGTTCAAATTATGAACCATGAATCATGAGTTCATGAATTGACATGTGATATGCAGGCCATCATTTCCAATCCTTCCAAGTGTAGCTGGCGTGCAAAGGACCAAGAGAGGAATAGCAGAGTGTGAAACACGCTCTGCCGCAAAATCTAGTTTTTCATGTCTGGAGTCAGAGCTAGCAACTACTTTTGAATTTGTGGCTGCTGATTCTTGTTCCAGTGCGCATTCGGGTACTAATACTCTTGCGCAACAGAGCCCGCAAGAAAAGGCGAAACCAGCATTTTGTTGGGGTGCCTGGGTTAAGACACATGCGGCATACGTCATATGAGTCAACACGAGCGCGCACACACACGACTCCGCATACATGTTCAAACATTACATTAATTACAAGTTACAAGTATCAAGTATCTGTGTCAGTATGTGCACATATGTTCCAAATGGTTCACAACTTTCACTCCACATGCCCACATCATTGGTCATTCCATAAACATACCGAGCTGTTTAAGACATCCGCCACTATCATCATCCTCATTGCTATCGGTGTTGCCGTCGACATATTCATTGACAGTTTCACTGCCACCTCGCCATTCTCATCGACATCTTCACTGCCACCGCCAGCGCCATCGCCATATTCATCGACACCTTTCATCGACATCTTCACTGCCACCACCAGCGCCATCGCCATATTCATCGACACCTTTCATCGACATCTTCACTGCCACCGCCAGCGCCATCGCCATATTCATCGACACCTTTCATCGACATCTTCACTGCCACCGCCAGCGCCATCGCCATATTCATCGACAGTCTTGTCGACATGATGGCTGACAGCATTCCGGGGTTCTGACCAGAGCATACGTTTTAAATTTTGATAATATATAGTGTACTTACATAGTAATATGTCCAAATACTTGTATGAATTGATGAATGATAAACCTCGCAAACAGATTGTGATGTGTGCCCATCTCACCACCTCACCGGTGGAACAACATAACATGGAAATATCACCAGCCTTGCAAGGCCACTTGGATGGCTTGCAGATCCTCACCGCGCTGCGCACCCCGGGACATGCGACCATGGGTGAATCGCACATCATTTCTTGGAGAGTTGAGTGTTGATCAGCATTCTACGAATGGCCTCCAACCTAGAAGCAAAAGGAAGCGACGGCCTCCAACCTAGCAATGGCCTCCAACCCAAGAGCGATGGCCTCCAACCTAATAGACATTCACATGGTGACATGGAAACTGTTTGAGGAGCTCTTCAAGAACAAGTCTTCCAACAACAGCCACCGCATCCTACCCTCGACACACAACAGCGACGTCCGTCCTCCGATGACGGAAACCGCATCATCCGATGACTGGGGGTGTTGCGAAGACCAACAGAGGCAGTGATCACCAAGGCCTAAAGCTGCCCATAGACCTCTCTTGCATTGTACAGCTGTGGGGGGACAAGTGACCTGGACCTATATACATGCTCCCTTCCATCGCCCCCAACTGTCCTTTCATGGTCCCTTTCTGATCAGCCAACTCCCCACCCACTGACGGCGCTCGGGATGCCCTCGGAATTCCGGGCCCTCCATCGCTGAATGCCCCACTTCTGGGTGTCCTCCCAAACGCCGTTGAGCACCTCAATGCAGTCTGACACTGTGTCCTCGGATCTGTCAATCTGGGCCATCCAAATGGATGAAACAGGCTGTGTGTCAAAAAGAATGCATTGAAATGCTTCTCCCCCTCGGCGTCTGGCCACGGGGTTGTAAACTTCAACCTCAGCTCGTGGCACAGTGGATCTTCGGTACAAGATCGGTTCTCGGATCCGGCGATGAGGGGCTGTGAGGGACCTGGACATCTGTCCTGTGTAATTTTTTGTCCCTTGATCATGCCTTGATCTTGCGTGAGGGACCCAAGGAAAGAACGGCTCTGACAGCTCATGTCGACAAGTCCAATTGGAGTTCACATATTCTTACGCACGGACCTATAGACTTCGATCTGAAGCTTGCTCGCTCGCACAGAGCTACGCACAACTAACTGACTAACACATGTAAGTGCTATGTGAGACTGCGGACGAAAACCCAAGTGATGAGCATTGTTCTCACTTTGCTGGGCGAATGTCTTTAGGGTTGAAGGATATTTTTCTTGAGAGCCACAACCACACCTGACACACCTGATCCCTGATCCGACCACCGCGAAAAGATCGCAGGTCGGCTGAAGAGCTCAACATGAGGACCAAAAAGAAGACCCCGATGAGGAACCTCAACATCCCAGACCGTCACTCTAGAGATCATTCATTCCATGCAAATTCTGGCTCAGTGAAGCTCTACCTCATCATGCGGAACCATGTTCCCATGTTTATCCGGCTAGAAGACCTGACCAATTCTGGCGTCATCAATCGGGATCCATTCATCATAGGTCTTGTTGCGTCATTCACCTGAAATGAGTGGTGTATTGAAATAGGAACACCTCCCAATTTGAACCCCTCAAGAAAATAACTGGAAGAATGGAAACAGACCAAAACCATCCAAAACCAATTGCTTGGGGATTTGATGGGATCTCCCTATTTCATCCTATTTCAATACACACTCCCTCCTTGCTCCAGGCCTCCAACCTCTTCTCTTTGCGCGTCGAGCAACCCCTTCTCTTTGCGCGTGCTTGTTGGCATCGACATAGACCACACCGCCCTGAGCCAATCTGGAGAGGGCCTTCCCGGCACCTTGTTCTCAGGCTCAATCTGTAATAACCTAGCCCTAGACTCAAGAACAAGAAATTAAACAAACACAACTGCAACCTGACTTGACACCAGAGCAACATGTTGAAATGATGTTTGCAAAGAACAAAGGCAGCTGGATGAACAAACAACAAAAACGGAATCGGCAAGATTTTTGGGTCTCCCTGGCTGGAGCCGGCAAGGTGACTTCGAAAAGATTGAGTTCTTAGTTTCCTGCTTAAGGCGATGTTCGATGTTGTTCGGCTCATTTGTGAAGCCGCACAAGTGCTCGGCTCTCTGTGCCGCACAGAACAGAAACAGCTGGACGTTCTACTCATGTTTACCCCCGGCCTGACCTTGTGCGTGTTTTGGCTACATGTTTAAGACATATGATCAAAAACATTCAAACACATTGGCTAAACAGTGACCTGGTGGAACAGGGGCGTTCTCGGAATTGAACAGCAAACCTATATACCCTAGGAACTATAGGATTCAAACAACCATTGTTTTAATGGTCTTTACTGCCAAAGAACCATTGTTTTACTAAGGATTTTTACACTACACGACCAGCTCAACCGTTCTTTTAATGGTCTTTGAAGGCTAGGGTATGAGCTCTTGATCCTTTTGACTCGACGGTGTTGGCATGAGATTACCAGAAATTCCGCCAACTCGATGGAGAACTTGTGGAGGAAACACCCGAAACCGACTCTGAGGCCATGGGCCATCACCAAATAGAGGAGGATATGGTGAGCCTTGGCCAAGCATGTGATCGTGATGTCCGCACTTCTCTTCCCATCCCACGAAGTCCAGGTCTCACGCGGAAAACAGTGGACACCTGTGCGCCCAACTGATTTTCAGCGGAAAAACTGCCAAAGGAGTGCTTGAAGAACTGCACCCATCACATGGAGGTTGAAGTCGCATAATTATTTGTCAGCACTGTACTGGTTGTTGTATAACCAGAACTGAGTGCATGTGTTCAAGAAAGCACCATCTCCGCGAAATCAACTGGGTAGTTGATGTGCAGATTCTGGAACTTCAACGAAATCAATTCGACCCAGTCACACACCTCAGAAGAATGGAGGTCCCTATTCCATGTTCATCAACAATCTCAAAGAAATGCCTTCAGCGAATAACCCGCCCTATGTTCCACACCAAGTCCCACCCATATTGCTAGGTGCTCCAGGCCAGCAAAAAGTAGCCGCCGGTGCCGACCACGGGAGCTGCCATGAGTTTCAGCATGCCTCCCTCCACCTGACGTGTTTGAGGCCCATGGAATCTTCTGCCATTCATGACAAGTACTGACAAAAAAACGACATCATTGCATCCTTCCGCAGGTTCACCTACGGAAACCTTGTTATGACTTCTCCTTCCTCTGTGATTATTAAGCTTCATGAAACGTTCCTTGCCGCAACGTCCAGAAGCTGAGCTGAGCAGCGTCTCCGAGTTCAACAGACTCACTACCGTTGCCTTTAGACTCCCGGTGTCGCGACCGATCGTTGGCTACGGAGGACTGGTCGGGCGAACATGGTTGAATGACCCATCCCTGGGACCCAGCGCACCGTTCCTTCGAAGAAGTCTTTAGACTTATCCAAAAAGGTTGACTTAAGACAGTGAAATGATGGATGCATTTCGTGTCGACTTGTTTGTGTGTATTTTCAGGTTTACCCGGTAGGTGATGAAACCACCATGACAGTTCATCGGAAGTGGTGCTTCTTCTTCTTCTTCTTCTTCTTCTTCTTCTTCTTCTTCAAAGCCATGTGCGATAAACATGGTAACCAACCATGGCACCCCCTTGGGGTCATGTGAAGCCCATGAGGCATGTGAAGCCCATGAGGCACGTAGAAGCTCGTGCTGTGGGGGAAGTGGTGAAATACCTTACACCAACTGGCTGCCATCTAAAACCCCCCTTCCTAAGCATGGTGGTAGGGATGGTGCCTGCAAATGCCAGAGTTGGTGTGAGCTCATTGGCAGTTAATATGTCATTGGGACCAATCATAGCAGGTAAGGTCTACAGATGTTTCCCCAACCAGCACGTGCCTTGCAGAGTCTTCCATCAACAGCCCAAAATTCAGCGGAAACCCAGCACATGGCCTGTTCTGGCACCGTTTTTGGTCCATCTGAAGGTCTGAAATCGAAGGTCTGCAAACTTGAATCACCATCTTACTGATCTCTGGAGACCAGTATCAAGGAGAAACGACAGTGGCATCAAGCCGATTTGGCAAGGCAAAGACAGTGACTCTTTCAGAGCACATGAACACTGCAAAGCAGTTCAAGGTGGATCAAGCCAACACGTGGCACCGGGAAAATGGTGCCACCGAGCTTCTTGCGCTTCTTGGCCGTTGAAAAACCGACAACACCGGACTGTTCAGGATCTGACTTCCCAACTTCCTTTTTGACCTGGTCAACTCCCTCGTATCAACTGATATAGTGTATATATATAGTGAAAACCGTGGGGCCCCAGGAAAGAAACCGAAAAAACGAAAGGCGTTCAGATCCCCTGGGCCCTCTCAGTCGCGAAGGACCAGAGCGTGACCAGGAAAGGAATTCCGCCCACCTTCCATGCGTTTTTAGGCCAAGAACAAGCCAGGACCTTGTGGCCCTGCCGCCAGCCGTGCCAGACCGCCATGGTGAGGGCAGGTGGCGCGATGGTGTTCCAACGGCCCACCTGCGGGCGTCACAGCGCCGGTGGCCAGATGCAGCCGGGCGACCGCACCGTCCTGGCCGGAAATGGCGACCGGTGCGACAGGAGGGGGCGACCGGTGCTGTCCCTAGGCTTCTTGGCCCAACATGAGGTTTAATGGTCTGAATCACGAACCACTATGTTGTACGAATGATTTTACATGATTTTACACTACAGCACCAGGCCAACCTGTGTTGTAAAAGTCTTGGACTTACAGTGTTTAGAGGTCACAAATCGTTGGACTTCAGACTGGGCCTTTGGAGGCAAGTACTGAGACCTTTGGTGTGGGAGGGCGAACACGCATCACCAAACGAACAAATGCCTGACGGCCCTTGGGTGTAGAAAAAGCACTGAACACACATGGATTGTAGAAGTTCTTTGCCCGACATCACTTGCTGGTTGATGATGGTTCTTTGCCTGCTGTTGCTCAAAGAAACACCTGTGCATGGTAGCTGTGTTTAACCCCTACCCCTCAAAGAAACCGCGTTGTCCACAGTCTCTCGGACCATGCAGCATCCGTCGTCCTGAGAAGTCAGCAGGAGCTCCTTCCCCTCAGCAGCAAAGGCTGCGCTGCTGGCCACAGCACGTGTGCGAGCCTCCCCGCTGGGCAGCCAGGAATCCTTCTCGTGACCTGCCGCGACGCCGTTCGAGAGACTCTTCCGCCACGGGGCTCCGTTCCAGTTCCGGTGACCGGGATGACGCGGTTCCGGTGCATCGCCCAAAAAGCACCTGCTGTAGGGTCAATCCATTGGAGCCTCTACAGTATTGCAGTTCAGAAGGGGGTTGTGTGGTCAAGAACTAGCTGGGGCATTCGGGGTTTCGGGAGGTCCGGAGGTAAAACCGATGTGTTGCTGAAGGTCCGGAACCTGATAGGCAATGAGACTTTTCACTATAGAGCCTTGGTGTAGAGGAGGCGAGTGGCCAACCTGGATGTCAATTAGTCTTCTAGTCCGATTGGTGTTTTCTTCTGGACACGAAGCCGGTTTCCGCAGATTGGAAACGCCGATCCACTGCGTCCGATCCGCTGCGCTCCATGGACCTGTTTGCAGGATGGGTTTGGGGTTTAGGGTTAAGGGTGACTGTGGTATAGTCTTTCCCACTGAGAATCGCAAAAGCACCGTCCGCGGAGCGCATGGACCGGGGATCGACCCAAAGCATCCCTCTGAGCTCTGGACTCTAGGTACAAGCAGTCATCTCTTCTCAGGTGGTGCCCCACTACCCCAGTAGTGAACAAGCTGAAATGCATTCTTGAACTTCGTCTCCTTCCAAAACGGATGCATCCAGTCATAAGCAAGCACCAATAAACTATATATATATACAATAAACCTCTGTTACTTCTGTCGCGCCTGTGTGTGCCATAATCACCACCGACTTCTCCTGGGGGAACATCACCGCCGCGCGCACCGCGTGTGGCTGCGGCCCACGGGTGATGGCGACGGCACCACGGAAGGGCGAGGCGCCCAAAGGCAGCGGCGGTAACGCCGAGTCCTGTGCGGACTCTGCGGACGGGCAAAGGTCGGAGGATTCACAGCGGAGGAAGTCTGGAAGTCGAGGAACGAGCAGTCGCACATATAATCAGCCCAAGGTCGGCCGAAATGTGTCAGATTTGGAAGGATAGATTAATAGATCCCAGACACGACTAATGGGACTGCCATAGGACTGCCGATCAGTTGGGTGGTTGACTGGGGGTCAAATGGGGCGGCAGTCCTATGGCAGTCCCATATGGCAGTCCCATTAGCCGTGTCTTGGAATGATCACGAGCACAATTCCATGTGCTTCGACACCCCGCGACACCGGTGTCGACTGTGTCGGTCCTTGCAGTGCCATGTGCCGTGATCGCAGTGGAAGGTCCGACCGCTCGAGGCCAGAACCACCAGCCCGTGATGGTCCCAATGCGCGGACAGCAACGGGCCCATGTTGCCTCAGTGAGAACGAGAATGGACCGGAGGAAAAGAGAAGATGAAAAAGAGGGGATCGCAGTGGTCAAGGGAGATACCTCCAATCTAAGTATTTGGTCACTAAATAACCAAATCTAACCAAGGGAGACACCTCCAAGATCTTTGGAGTGCCAAAATAACGAAATCAGATCACTCCAATTTGGAGACCTCGCACCACCCGCACCGGCCAGCCAAGTCTCCACCGTGCAGGGCGACGGGCGTGGAGTGAGGGCCCTCAATGATCAAACCTCGGGCGCGAGCCGCGACCAGGAGCGTCTGCTTCAGACGGATGGAAAAAAAAAAGGACGGTTTTTGCACACGAAAGGTGTTTCTGCAGCCTCCGCAGGCTCGGTCAAAGAATGTCTTCTGCCAAGAATTTCGGTGCCATTGTGGAGTCTTCTGGTGCCGCCCATCTGGTGGTTTTTCGCAAGCAAAGGATTTGATATGCCACTTTGACCTGTGGGACCTTCTTCCCATTTTCCTAGACTTCCGTTCGACCATTAAAAAAATGGGAACGTCCTGGTTTTTGTCGTGTAAAAACCTGAGTTGATTCGGGATTCTGCCTATGAAATTAATGGTGGGCCAGGAAGCCTAGGGTTAACTGGTGATATCGGGATGGATCCATCCTGCATGGGCGTTGCTGTGGTGGTCGTTGCTGTCAGCCACATTTCTTCAAGTGGAGGCGCGACAGAGTCCCCCAGTTGATTGAGGTGAACAAAGTACTGGACCTGAACGATCGTGGGCAAGATCTGCGCGCTGCATTCCACCGTATCAACTCTGCACGTGGCTTCTCCAACAAAAATATACCCAGACACGCCATGTATGCCATATATGCCTACATTGACCCCCCAAAACCACCCCAACTGATCGGCAAATATGGCAGTCCCATTAGTCGTGTCTGGGATAGTTGTTCCGAGTTCTTCCATGCCTTCCTCCGGCTGGGGCGCCCCAAGTCCGAACTTCCCACGGACTTTGGTTTTAGGCTGGTGAACCAGGCTGAAACCGAAAACACAAAAATCCACGCGGCGCCTTTGTGCTCAAAGCAAGGTGCCACGGCCGTGGTGGGACAGTGCCAGAAGCTTGGGCGCGGAAGCATGGCCGCACAGCAACCTGCCGGGTTGGGAAGCGCCAGTCACGAATGTAATGGCTTTGTCGGCGGCCCACTATTAATTTATATGACATTAATTTCATTATAGTGATCTGTTCTTTCAAATTAATGCCACAAATAAATTAATGAATCCTAATCTCCTAGCCGCTGAAAGCTCTTATTTTATGGGCTTTATGATTAATGAATGGTGTTTAGTTTATATGTTTCTTTAGATTATAAAGCCCATAAACGAAATCCCTGATCCACCACTTTCTAGATCTAGGAGTCACCGGTTCAACCATCATGAAATTCCATGAAGAGATTTTAATAGTAATTTCATGATGGTAGGGCACAGAGGAACAAGAAAGAGAAATCTCTTATTATTCATCCTCCACATTTACTCTTTGACCATTAAATCTTTGTCCATTGGTTTTCTTCTTATGAAATTTGGAGGATAAGTCTTTTATAATTTCATTTCTTTTATGTGATGTCCGTATTTGGGAATATTTGGAGGGGTCGATGCCAGGTAGAAGTATATATACACCTA